AAAATAATGAAACATTTACATAAAAGATATCTGGTGTATATTTGTGGAATGACAAATCTATTGTGCATTGTAAACTGAATTTAAATGTGCTACATTTATAAGGGGGAAAGAGTTTAGGGACCTCATGACATGGAGACAGCAGAGGAATCCATTAGGCAGTGGAGCAAATTCATAGGGCAGTGGGAGAAACTGGTGGGCAGTGCCCCGCATCATCATCATCATCATCATCATCATCATCATCATCATCATCATAATTTTATTTCTGATCTGCCTCTCCTTGTGGCACAAAATGGGTTACAGGTTAATTAAACACATAAGCATTATAAAAGTACTACAAATCCACATATTAAAATGTATTTTTTTAAAAGCTACATATTAAAGCCTATTTCTATAAAATAAAAATAATCTCCTTACAATTACACACGGTTTCCCATGTGTCCCCGGCTTAGTCAGTGAGAACACAGGTGACTGCCCATGTTCTCAGGGCAGCCTCTCAAGATGCTGCCAAGATGCAGACAGGATGGAGCTGGGACAGGACCCCGCTGGAAGTAGACCTGTGTCTTGGCAGCATCCTAGGATGGGGTTTTTTGCCCATGTGATGAGGTCATAGATCTCAAATAGCTTATTATATATTGGACTTTCTTGCTACTGGGTGTTAAAATCAACTTCATTATTTTGCCGTACTGTTCTGTCCATCAATAAAAATTTTTACTGTGGATCTCCATGTTTTCACTCCTCCGGAGGCCATGCTTTGTTCAATAGAGTGCCATGCCTACATCTCCCAACTACAATTCGCCTATGTATTCCTATAGTCATCAAGTTATGGTTGATAGCTTAAGTGGTGTCCATTATTCAGAGGATCTAACACAGATTGGGTAATTTATCCTACTGTGGCTTGTTTCCGCAAGCCAGGGAAAATCATACGAAAAATCTCCATTGTTCTCACACTCACACACACACACACAAACACAAACACATATATACATAGATAGGTAGTTCCCATGTCAGACCAGACAAGCCTAGAATGGTTTGTCTACTTACATGGTCCGCTTGAGGCTGAGAGATTGCTGACCACAGAAACAGAAGCTAAAAGTATGTGCATTTGTTTAACCTCTTTATTGACAGCCCAGCCGGTAGGCTGTTAGGAATTGTGGGAGTTGAAGTCCAAACATCTGCACAAGCATGGTACTAGCACAAGCATGGCCAACGTTTGGCCATGCTTGTGCTAGTACCAAGTTCCTGTCGAAGGTGGCAAAATAGGGATGAGTCTTCCGTCTTTGCTTTGTTTGAATAATACCTCCCATTTTCTTTCTATGTAAACAAATCTCTCCTACTACTCTCCTTCCTGGCACATCCATGAACATCTCTGGCCCATCGACAAACAGAGGAAACTACGCTGGGATATGTGAGGAACTCAATTGCACACCCATTATTTTTTTTGGCTTGGGTTTACATACTAAATTGTTTGAGCTTTGCATGCTCAGTGCTCTGTGGTGTGGATTGGCATGCCACCTTTAACACAGATGGATCAGCTGCGCATAAGTAATTACAACCCATAGGTCCTATGATGGGGATATGAGGCCCGACGTGTGCATATCAGCTTCGTAGGAATTTTTGACTCGTAGAAAAAGGGTGCAACTATACTGCAGAATGAATGCAGTTTGATACCGAGTTTGAATAAAAAAAAGCGGCGGATTTGAACCACGGTTCTGATTATGCAATGGTATGGTGAATTGTGTGTGGGATTATGAGTTTGGCAGTAGTAATGCTTTACAGACTTGTAAAAGGCGTCGCTACATATCCCAGATCTTCTAGGTCATTGCGCACATGAGGACTTATATTAAAGTGGTGTCAAACTGCATTCGTTCTACAATCTAGTGCAGTCGATGGACAAGACATAGTCGACTTCCGTATAACTAGTCTATTGAGGCTTAGCAATGGGAAATAGAGCACCTTTGTGGGGGGGGGTGGTTTTTGGATCTACATCTCCCAGAAGTTTCCGCTACCACGAATTATTGTTACGTGTTCATCATCCACGGAGGCGCAGGTGAGGCTTACATGTCGATCAAACTTGGCCCTGCCCTCCAAGGTGTTTTGGACTTGCAATCATCCTCACGAATTCGCTAGACAGGCTGTGTATTCTGGTAGGGTGGATTAGTTGTGTAGTTGAAGTCGCAAAAGCATTCTGATAGGAGGCTGGAAGTTTGCCCAGTATGCTTATAGAGGAATCAAATACATAAATAAATAATCTAAACTCCAGACATAACATAATTGGCTGGTGGTTCTGGGAGATACAGTCCCAAAAGCAACTTTCCAAGATCTGGCTGGGATTCATTAGGAGACCTTCCAACATGTGGATCTGACTCATCAGTCCCTTGCAAAGCATTGTGTCTCTCCAACAATTCCACACCATTTTTCCACGCCTGCTGCATCCTTCTTCCTTTTGATTTGCTTGTTATTATATGTTGCTTTTAAGCCTAGACTAGCAAATCCAGGCTTTCAAAAATGTTCTGATTTGCCTTCCATGCATTTAATGTTTTCTTTTAATATTTATTTTGTTCATTCTTAATTCCATTTAAGTATAAGTGATTTGTGCATGCGTGTGTAAAAAAAGGGGGATAGAAGAAATTTACATTTGGATTGTTTTTCCATCTGAACTAACACAGAGAGACCTGACACAATTCTAGCACTGTATTTTGATTTCAAACAAGTGGTCCCCAATAGAGTAGCTCTTTCCTCCTCCAACGTTTGTCTCCACTATATTATTATTATTATTATCATCATCAAACCCTTGTGCCGGCAGGACTAAAGACCGACAGGTCGCAGGTTCGAATCTGGGGAGAGGCGGATGAGCTCCCTCTATCAGCTCCAGCTCCTCATGCAGGGACATGAGAGAAGCCTCCCACAAGGTTGATAAAAACATCAAATCATCCAGGCGTCCCCTGGGCAACGTCCTTGCAGACTGCCAATTCTCTCACACCAGAAGTCCTGACACGACAAAAAAAAAGTTTTTAAATATCTTTGGGATGACATTTAACACTACAATCCTAACCAGATTATCATAATAGATAATATTATTATTAATTAATTATGATCATTTGATATTATTTATTATTATTATTAACATTGACGGGAGAGCACAGTACAAGCATTAGTAGCAGCAGGCAAACAAGGTCACTCTGGCTGGGCTGTTGTATTCGGATCACAGGGCTATCGGAATTAGATGTACAGCTTCTAGAAGATTGTGTGGATGTATCCTTGTCTGTCTGGGGGAGTATTTGTTTGTTTTAGGTATTTTGCTGTAATCATGTGTCCGAGTTTGGGCCGCGCATGATTGCATGCTGCCGAGTCCCCATTGGGAGCATGGTGGTGGGGTATGAACTATAAATTTTATTATTATTATTTATTTATTGGAGCCCCGGTGGCGCAGTGGGTTAAACCCCTGTGCCGGCAGGACTGAAGACCGACAGGTCGCAGGTTCGAATCCGGGGAGAGGCGGATGAGCTCCCTCTATCAGCTCCAGCTCCTCATGCGGGGACATGAGAGAAGCCTCCCACAAGGATGATAAAAACATCAAATCATCCAGGCGTCCCCTGGGCAACGTCCTTGCAGATGGCCAATTCTCTCACACCAGAAGCAACTTGCAGTTTCTCAAGTCACTCCTGACACGACAAAAAAAAATTGTGCGGTACTTACTTTGAAAATAGTTGTTATCCTTCAGAAACATTGTTTTTGCAGCTGCCGACCTAGAACTGGTTGAGACTCAATAAGATGTCCATTGAAAGACTGTGTTGAAGAATCTCCCGCAAAACATTTTTTTTGCAGTTTAATAATTTTTTCCCTTGCTTTTATGATAAAAGAAATTAGGAAATGACATTTATAACCCAGGAACAAAAACCATATTGCGTAGTGTCGTTATTATTGTTGTCATCTTGCTTTAGAATCATAGAATCATAGAGTTGGAAGAGACTTTTTCTGTCTTTAAACAATACTAAAAATAATAAATTATGTATATTGAACTTAAAATGTATAAACATTAAATAGAATTAAATATAGGACTCAAAACCAATACATCGTCAAAACCAATAGAGCCTTTAGGAAAAAAAACAAAAGAAAACCTCTCCTCAAAGCCCCCATTTTTGTGACTCATTCCAAAACTTTGCAGCCATCCACTTTTTCAGGCATTTTTGCAGGAGCACCACCACCACCAATAGCCCTTCCTTTCTCCCTTGCTCCACCACACTGTTTTTAATTTGGGACTACAACTTCCAACTGAGAGACCAACTGGGAATTTTCATTTCTCTAAGCTCTGCTAAATCTCTCCCCCTTGAATATCAATCATTGGCTAATTTTGGGCCACTGGTTTTGGATGCACACCTCCATCCTAAGTTGATGCCAGTGGGATATGGACTCCCAAGGGTTTTTGTATGTAGTGCAGTAGTATTTATTATTTATTTACCATATTTATATACTGCCTTTCTCAGCCCTAAGACGACTCAAGGTGGCAATCAATGCCCCCAACAACATAAAATATAGTGGGTTGTTGTAGATTTTCCGGGCTATATGGCCATGTTCTAGAGGCATTTTCTCCTGACGTTTCACCTGCATCTATGGCAAGCATCCTCAGAGGTAGTGAGGTTTGTTGGAAGTAGGAAAACGGGTTTATATATCTGTGGAATGACCAGGGTGGGACAAAGGACTTGATTAGCATTTAATGGCTTGGAAGTGCCTAGGGGGAATCTTTTGTTGAGAGTGATTTGATGTGCCCGATTGTTTACTCTCTGTTGTTGTGCTGTTGTAATTTTTGAGTTTTTTAATACTGGTAGCCAGATTTTGTTCATTTTCATGGTTTCTTCCTTTCTGTTGAAATTGTCCACATGCTTGCGGATTTCAATGGCTTCTCTGTGTAGTCTGACATGGTGGTTGTTGGTGTGGTCCAGCATTTCTGTGTTCTCAAATAAAATGCTGTGTCCAGGCTGGTTCATTAGGTACTCTGCTATGGCTGACTTCTCTGGTTGAAGTAGTCTGCAGTGCCTTTCGTGTTCCTTGATTCGTGTTTGGGCAATGCTGCGTTTGGTGGTCCCTATGTCACACATAGATGCAGGCGAAACGTCAGGAGAAAATGCTTCTAGAACATGGCCACATAGCCCGGAAAACCTACAACAACCCAGTGATTCCGGCCATGAAAGCCTTCGACAACATAAAATATAATTAAGAACGTTAACATATAAATCAGTTAATATACATTATCTGTTTTGAACTGGATTATCTGAGTCTACACTGCCATATAATCCAATTCAAAGCAGATAATCAGGATTTTATATGGCAGTGTAGAAGGGACCTGGCTGACCCTGTGCAAGTCACATACTCTTAGCCCCCCAAACCCCTGTGATAGCTGCACATTAGACTCATCATCAATTGAAAACGACATGAAGAAGGCATCAATATTGTAGAATTGATCAGTTTGACACCACTTTAACTGTTGTGTCTCCATGCTACGGGACCATGGGATGTGTTTGATAGTTTGCCTCGGCAACTCCCAGGATTCCATCACTTGGAGCCACAGCAGTAAAAGTGAGTGTCAAACTGCATTAATTCTACAAGGTAAATGTAAATAAATCCCTTTCAAAACTTGTGCGCCAGCTGCAACCATACCTTGTGAAATCTGACTTAGCTAGTGTGGTCCACACCTTGGTTACATCCGGATTGGACTATTGCAATGCGCTCTACATGGGGCTGCCCATGAAGACGGCCCGGAAGCTCCAACTGGTACAACAGGCGACAGCCAGGCTCCTTACTGGAACAAACAATAGGGAGCATACAACTCCCTTTTTAAAACAGCTTCACTGGCTACCGATTAGTTGTCGAGCCAAATTCAAGGTGCAGGTCATTACCTATAAAGCCCCAAATGGTTTGAGCCCCGCCTATCTTCGTGATCGCATCTCCCTCTATGAACCGGCGCGAACTTTAAGATCTCCCGGGGAGGCCCTCCTCTCGCTCCCACCACCGTCACAAGCACGGTTGGTGGGGATGAGAGAGAGGGCCTTCTCGGTGGTGGCCCCCTCCTCTGGAACGCCCTTCCTGGAGAAATAAGACAGGCCCCATTCCTCCTCTCTTTTCGTAAGAGCCTTTGAGAACAACCCTTTGAGAACGACGAGTTCTAGCTCTGCCCCAGATACCGTAGAAATTGGCCATATCTTTTTCTACCAATTAGGCCCTGGAAATGTTGTTTTCAAAAGGAAAACTCCCAACTAAAAAAATTAGCTGATCTCTGTTGACACAACCCCTGGGGCCACAAGGTCTGTGTGGTTTGTTCAGATGTGAAAAACAATGGGGATCTTGGGGTGGGTTTCTTTTCTTTGAGTGCAGCAAGAAAAGGGTGCCTAATCAACGTGCATTTAACATCCCTTTACTCTTCCCATGCTTCTCCAGGGCAGCCCTGGCCTCTGCCCACCAATGCCACCCTCTCCCCAAGACCCTCAGTGTGCTGAAGAACACCCCACAAGTCAGAGGAATGCACACCATCATCCGGTGAGTTTACGTTTCCTTCTTTCTCTTCTTCCTCTCTGAGGTTTTGTTTTGGGGGAAAAAATAAGATTGCAAAAGCAAGCTGGCGAGAGATACATAAAGATAGAATCATAGAGTTAGAAGAGACCTCATGGGCCATCCAGTCCAACCCCTGGGCAAGAAGCAAGAAAATCGCATTCAAAGCACCCGCAACAGATGACCATCCAGCCTCTGTTTAAAAGCCTCCAAAAAAGGAGCCTCCACCACATTCCTGGGCAGAGAGTTCCACTGCTAAATGGCTCTCACAGTTAGAAAGTTCTTCCTAATGTTCAGGTGGAACGTCCTTTCTTTCCTGTATTTTGAAGCCATTGTTCCATGTCCTAGTCTCCAGGGCAGCAGAAAAAAAAGCTTGCTTTCCCCCTTCCCCCATGACTTCCCCTCACATCTTTATAGATGGCTATTATGCCTCCTCTCGGAAGATCGATGCTTTTGAGCTGTGGTGTTGGAGGAAAGTGCTGAGAGTGCCTTGGACTGCGAGAAGATCCAACCTGTCCATCCTCCAGGAAATAAAGCCCGACTGCTCACTGGAGGGAAAGATACTAGAGACAAAGTTGAAGTACTTTGGCCACATCATGAGGAGACAGGAAAGCCTAGAGAAGACAATTATGCTGGGGAAAGTGGAAGGCAAAAGGAAGAGGGGCCGACCAAGGGCAAGATGGATGGATGGCACCCTTGAAGTGACTGGACTGACCTTGAGGGAGCTGGGGGTGGTAACGGCCGACAGGGAGCTCTGGCGTAGGCTGGTCCATGAGGTCACGAAGAGTCGGAGACGACTGAACGAATGAACAACAACAACATGTTCAAATCTAGCATCCTATCACCTTTCCATGTAGGCTGGAGTTATGTGCCCAGGACCTCCTCAAAAGTGGGAAACCCACAAATTTAAACATGCTTTAAAATACCTTTTTAGGAATTTGTAAGTCAGACACAAGCAAAGTTTCTCACTTGGGACCTCATGGTGGGCAGAAACAGCGTCCCCTCCCTGCCCTTTCCTCCCCTTCTTCTTCTCTTTTGGAGACAGAAAGTGAAGAAAAGACAGGAAAGGGTTGGTCTTGGTCAGGATGATGGTGGATGGGAGAGAAAAAGTGTATCCATTAGACCCCTTATTGCCTACTCCTGATATACAATCCTAGAGGTGGAAGACACCCCCAAGGGCCAGCCAGTCCAACCTGCTATACAATAAGGCACAATTAAAGCACTCCCGATAGACAGCCTCTGCATAAAAACCTCCAGACAAGGAGACTCCACTACACTCCGAGGCAGCCTACACCACTCTCCAGGAAGTCCTTCCTAATCTTTTCAGTCGAATCTCTTTCCCTGCCATTTGAACCCATTGCTCCCTGTGCTCTGGTCTCTAGAGCAGCAGAAAGTCAGTTTTCCCCCTCGTTCTCCGTGGGACACCTTTTTAAATCTTGAAACATGGATCTTATGTTCCCTCTCTACAACAAAAACAACAATAGGGTTGTTGTAGGTTTTTTCGGGCTATATGGCCATGTTCTGATGTTTCGCCTGCATCTATGGCAAGCATTCTCAGAGGTAGTGAGGTCTGTTGGAACTAGGAAAATGGGTTTATATATCTGTGGAATGACCAGGATGGGACAAAGAACTCTTGTCTGTTGGAGCTAGGTGTGACTGTTTCAACTGAGCACCTTGATTAGCATTTGATGACCTAGCAGTTGTTTGGTGTGGCTTATTGGTGCCCATTTTCCTTCTGCTCCAGATGGTAAATGTTAGTAAATCCAGACTGTGCTTTCCCTGTCTTAAGATGAAACTTCAAGCTCTTTGAGCATTGCACAGCTTCTCCAAGACTCATCCTTGGGAGCCAATCTATCTTCCTCTGCATCGGCCACTTTTCAAAGCAGGCTTATCCATGTGGCTCATGATCCTTCCACAACCCTGTCTCGTTTTTCCTTCTCATTTAGGGACAAGGAGACAAGCCGTGATGAGTTCATCTTCTACTCCAAACGGCTGATGCGCCTACTCATTGAGCATGCGTTGTCTTTTCTGCCATTCCAGGTAGGGTCTCTTTTAAATACACCTCTGTCATGTCTCTAGGCTTTTTCTCTAAGCTAAGTGGCCCAGAACATTATTACCTTTCTTGGTGAGGAGATGTTCTAGTCCAGGCATGGGCAAACCTGTGCTATCTCCCCGAAGGGGACTCAGGGCAGTTTCCATCAAAGTGGCAAACATTCAATGCCATAAAAACAAACAGCAAATCAATTAATCAATACAATAAATAAAACAAGAACAATATAAACTTACAAGAATTAACTAATAATAACAAAAGTAAAAACTTAAATAAACATAATATGTTATAGTTATTTCAAGAGAGCGTTCCAGAGGTATTTATTTATCGAGTCATCAGCAACCAGTCAATTGTATTACTCACAAATTTCTAACAGAACAAAACAAACAACAGACAAAATACAAAATTTGTGAGTTTGGTAGTTGATTAAATGTCCTTTGACCAGTATCTGGCCACTTGGAGTGCTTCTGGTGTTGCTGCAAGAAGGTCCTCCATTGTGCATGTGGCAGGGCTCAGGTTGCATTGCAGCAGGTGGTCAGTGGTTTGCTCTTCTCCGCACTCGCATGTCGAGGATTCCACTTTGTAGCCCCATTTCTGAAGGTTGGCTCTGCATCTCGTGGTGCCAGAGCGCAGTCTGTTCAGCGCCTTCCAAGTCGCCCAGTTTTCTGTGTGCCCAGGGGGAGTCTCTCATTTGGTATCAGCCATTGGTTGAGGTGCTGGGTTTGAGCCTGCCACTTTTGGACTCTCGCTTGCTGAGGCGTTCCAGCGAGTGTCTCTGTAGATCTTAGAAAACTATTTCTAGATTTAAGTTGTTGACGTGCTGGCTGATACCCAAACAGGGGATGAGCTGGAGATGTCTCTGCCTTGGTCCTTTCACTATTGGCTGCTACTTCCCGGCGGATGTCAGGTGGTGCAATACCAGCTAAGCAGTGTAATTTCTCCAGAGGTGGGGAGTGATCATGGAGAAGGCCCCCTTTCTCATTCCCACCTGCTGTGTTTTTCTGTTCTATTCTACTCTGATTTTTCTAGAGTTGCACGGTTCAGACACCACAAGGACATGACTATGAAGGCCGAGCCTACCGTGGAAAGCAAGTAAGTGAATCATAGAATCCTAGATCTGGAAGAGACCGTAAGGGCCATCCCGTCCAACCGTGTTCTACCAGGCAGTGATACAAAATCCAAGCCCTGCCAATAGATGGTATAACGACTATCCCCCTAAGGATCACACCGCTGTGCCACCAATTATAATGAATATCACACCAAGGAACTTCTTTTAGCAGGGAGAAGGAACAGGGGATTCTGAATTAGTGAATCCCACAACCTGCCAACCTTTTATAAGGAATATCACAGGAGGGGGATTGATAAAACAGAGATAGATATACTTTAATGACGTCTGAACTGAGAGGCTTTGTAACTGTTTCTTCAATTGTTTTCGCTGCCACCTTTTGTTTGGTATTCAGGCTGAGTTATATGTATGGAGAGGATACTTAGTAACACCCTTCTTGGTTACTATGGTGTTTATTTTCCTCAGAGGGTTTAAATACCAATGACGTTCACACACAGGCTATTGTAATGTGTTAACTATAATAAAACGTTTATTTAACAGGCTTAAACTCTTCTGGTACAAATGCGTAATGGTTTCTGTAAGTTAATGGCACAAAAGCTTTTGGTTACGTTTGATGTACAATTCTTAGATGGGTACTGGGTTCAAATCTAGAGTTAACAAACAGGAGATTATCTCAGGAAATTAATCTCTGATGATAATTCCAAACCAAATTCCCACTTTCTGGAATCTAGCCAAACAATCTTGGCCTAGCCTTCCTCAGGAATAAAAGAAACAAGCCATAAGCAAGGTCCTGTTAGCCAGGAATACTGTCAGTATTCCTGGCTAATAAAGGTAATGGTTCTTCACAGATGGCTATCCAGCCTCTGCTTAAAAACCTCCAGCGAAGAAAACTTCAACAGACTCCAAGACAGCAAGTTATGGGAAGGGCTTGGGAATGGTTGCATCCTATTTTCATCTGAAAAAAACATGCTAATTATTTTGAATTCCAAGGAATTTTGCCTTTGGCTTTCTCTATGGCAGAGAGAGCATGACTTGCCCAGAGTCATCCATTGGGTTTCCATAGCCAGGCTGGGTTTTGGGGGCATTGGATTGCAGTGGCTCTGCTCCTTCCTGGAGGATTGCACCTAGTTGGTGAAGCTGGGAGGCACCTGCTCGGATCCCTAGCCATTGGCCTTTGTGGTCCCGCAAGGTTCCATTCTTTCCCCCGTGTTTTTCAATATCTACATGAGACTGCTGGGTGTAGTCATCCTGAGTTTTGGAGTTCGATACCATCTGTATGCAGATGACACAAAACTCTGCTCCTCCTTTCCACCAAAATCCAAAGAAGTTCCCCCGATCCTGGACCAGTGCCTGGCAGCTGGGATTTATTTATTTATTTGTTTGTTTATTTACTATATTTATATACCGTCCCTCTCAGCCTGCAGGCGACTCGGCGAGGTTTACAATTGGTGCCAAGACCATAAAATACAATTTCAACACAATAAAAACAATCGGATAATAAAATCATAACAAAATCCATAAAAACATGAACATTAAGGTCTCCTATTTAACATATTGTCCAATCACACCGTCCAACCATCGTCCTTTGTCTATTACACTGTATTTGGAAATGCCTGCTCAAAGAGCCAAGAGGGGGCCGATCTGATATCCTTAGGGAGGGCGTTCCATAGCCAAGGGGCCACCACTGAGAAGGCCCTGTCTCTCTTCCACGCTAGCTATACCTGTGACGAAGGCGGGACCGAGAGCAAGGCCTCCTCAGACAATCACTTCATCCAACCATTCCATTTTTCTATGTCTATTACACTGTATTTGGAAATGCCTGCTCAAAGAGCCAAGAGGGGGCCAATCTGATATCCTTAGGGAGGGCATTCCATAGCCAAGGGGCCACCACTGAGAAGGCCCTGTCTCTCTTCCACGCTAGCTATACCTGTGACGAAGGTGAGACCGAGAGCAAAGCCTCCCCAGACAATCACTTCATCCAACCATTCCATTTTCCTATGTCTATTACAGTGTATTTGGAAATGCCTGCTCCAAGAGCCAAGTCTTGACCCTCTTTTGAAATGTTAGAAGGGAGAGGGCCGATCTGATATCCTTAGGGAGGGCATTCCATAGCTGAGGGGCCACCACTGAGAAGGTCCTGTCTCTCGTCCCTGCCAGCTGTACCTGTGACAAAGATGGGACCGAGAGCAGGGCCTCCCCAGACAATCTTAAAGTCCTGGATGATTCATAAGGGGAAATGTGTTCGGACATGTAAGTTGGGCCAGAACTGTTTAGGGCTTTAAAGGCTAAAGCCAGCACTTTGAATTGTGCCTGGTAGGAAACTGGCAGCCAGTGGAGATGGCGCAGCAGAGGAGTTGTATGCTTTCTGAGTGCCGCTCCTGTTAGCAATCTGGCCGCCAAGCGCTGGACCATTTGAAGCTTCCAGAAAGTGTTCAAGTCACCACCTTCCCAGCAGGAAACAGCTCTTCTATTGATGTTCAAGAAGATAATATTCCCACTTAAGGCAAATATGGCTTTCTTGCCACTTAGCATACTCCCCTGCTAAGAATGCACAAGAAAAACACACACACACACACCTTCAATTATCCTCTTCGGAAAGTAAAGAGTTTACTAATTGGGAAAGGAAGGGAAACTGGCAAGAGTTTACTCTTTTTGAGGAAAATTGCCATTTTGAGCTGGACCCCAATTTAAAGGAGGCTGGTGCTGATTGTTCAGTTGGAAACGGAACACAGCAACCCAGCATTTCGGTGTTCTCAAATAATATGCTGGACCACTCAAACAACCTCCATGTCAGACTACACAGAGAAGCCATTGAAATACACGATCATGTGGATAATTTTAACAGAAAGGAGGAAACCATGAAAATGAACAAAATCTGGCTACCAGTATTAAAAAAAACCTTTAAAATTACAACAGCAAAACAACAGAGAAGAAACAAACAAGGACATCTAATCACTAGGTTCTTGTGGGTTTTTTCGGGCTATAGGGCCATGTTCTAGAGGCATTTCTCCTGACGTTTCGCCTGCATCTATGGCAAGCATCCTCAGAGGTAGTGAGGTCTGTTGGAATTAGGACAGTGGGTTTATATATCTGTGGAAAGGCTGGGGTGGGGCAAGGAGCTCTTCTCTGCTGGAGCTAGGTGTGAATGTTTCAACTGAAGGCCTGGCTGAGCCTGAAAATGAACCAAATCTGTCTACCAGTATTAAAAAACTCTAAAATTACAACAGCAAGACAGCAGAGAGGAAACAACCAGGCACATCTTAACACCTCTCAACAAAAGATTTTCCCAGGCTCAGCCAGGCCTTCAAATGCTAATGAAGGTGGTCAGTTATTTATTTATTTATTTCGAGGTTTTATATACCGACCCTCTCACCTTCAAAGAGGGATTCGGACCAGTTCACAACATGTGTTAACATACAAAAATATACAATAACAACACAATGCCACTTCATTACACGATTAAAATATCAGCACCATACACATTAAAATATTAACATCCCAGTTAAAAGAGCCAAATCGTCCAGCACCATCACAATCACATTCATCATCCTCCTTTCATGTGGGCAAAGAATTAAATCAGTTGTCAAATGCCGCGTTCCACAACCAGGTCTTTGTTAGTTTCCTGAACGTCATGAGGGAGGGGGCAGTTCTGATCTCTAATGGCAGGGAGTTCCAAAGTCGAGGGGCCACCATCGAGAAGGCCCTGTCCCTCGTCCCCACCAGCCGTGCTTGTGCAGGCGGTGGGACCGAGAGCAGGGCCCCTCCAGACGATCTTAGTGGTCTTGATGGTTCGTAGGGGAGAATACGTTCGGAGAGGTAAACAGGGCCGGAGTCGTTTAGGGCTTTATAGGTTAACACCAGCACTTTGAATTGTGCTCGGAAGCTAATTGGCAGCCAGTGGAGCTGGTGTAACAGCGGAGTGGTGTGCTCCCTGTACCCAGCACCCGTTAGTAGTCTGGCTGCCGCACGTTGTACTTGCTGCAGCTTCCGGGCAGTCTTCAGAGGCAACCCCACGTAGAGAGCGTTGCAGTAATCTAAGCGGGATGTAACCAAAGCGTGTACTACCGTGGCCAAGTCAGCCCTCCCAAGGTACGGACGCAGCTGGCGCACAAGTTTTAATTGTGCGAAACTCCCCTGACCACCGCTGAAACCTGGGGTTCCAGGCTCAGCGATGAATCCAGGAGAACTCCCAGACTGCGTACCTGTGCTTTTAGGGGGAGTGTGACCCCGTCCAGCACAGGCTGTAACCCCGTACCCTGTTCGGTCTTACGACTGACCAGGAGTACCTCTGTCTTGTCTGGATTTAGTTTCAATCTGTTGTCCCTCATCCAGTCCGTGACAGCGGCCAAGCACCGGTTCATGACCTGAACAGCCTCCTTAGTGGCAGGTGGAAAAGAGTGATAGAGTTGGACATCATCTGCGTACAGATGACATCGCACCCCAAAACTCCGGATGATCTCTCCCAACGGCTTCATGTATATGTTAAACAACATAGGGGACAGTATTGAGCCCTGCGGGACTCCACAGTGCAATGGCCGAGGAGTCGAGCAGGAGTCCCCTAGTGACACCTTCTGGGAGCGACCCTCGAGAAAGGACCGGAGCCACTGCAAGGCAGTACCCCCAAGACCCATTCCCGCGAGGCGTCCCAGAAGGATACCGTGGTCGACGGTATCGAAGGCCGAAGAGAGGTCCAGCAGAACCAACAGGGACACACTCCCCCTGTCCAGTTCCCGGCGCAGATCATCAACTAAGGCGACCAAGGCTGTCTCAGTACCATGTCCCGGCCTAAAGCCAGACTGTGACGGATCTAGATAGTCCGTGTCCACCAGGAATTCCTGGAGTTGCGAGGCCACCACACGTTCCAGGACTTTGCCCAAGTAGGGGAGATTGGAGACTGGCCGAAAGTTGACGAATTGAGTGGGGTCTAGTGATGGTTTTTTCAACAGCGGTTTGATGACAGCTTGTTTTAAGCTGGCTGGAATCTTGCCTTCCCGAAGGGAGGCATTAACCACCACCTTTACCCACTCTGCCAAACCCCCTCTGGCTTCTTTTACCAGCCAGGAAGGGCAGGGGTCTAGGATGCATGTGGTGGGCCTCGCCTCTCCCAGAACCCTGATGACCTCGTCGAGTTGAACAGATCGAAACGAATCCAACAAAACTGGACAAGCAGATGCTTGAGTTACATCCTCAGAGACTGCAATTAATGTGGTGTCAAAGCCCGCGCGGATCAAAGCGACTTTGTCCGCAAAGTACTGAGCAAATGCTTCACAGCGCGCTGCCGAGTCGTCAGGGGACCCACTCGAGGTGGGATTCAACAACCCTCTGACTACTCGAAACAGCTCTGCCGGACGGTTCCTTGCGGACGCAATATTGGCCGAGTAGAAAGCATTTTGCGCGGCCTCTATTGCCGCGCCATACGCCCTTAGATAGAGGCGTAGGCGTGTTCGGTTTGACTCGCTGGGCTCTTTCCTCCACACGCTCTCTAGCCACCTCTTTGTTCGCTTTAGCTCCACCAGCTCCTCGTTGAACCAAGGGGCCGGTTTCGCTCGGCGACTTAAGAGGGGGCGCTCCGGAGCAATCGTGTCTATTGCCCTAGTCAGCTCCCTATTCCAGTGAGCGACCAGGGCATCGACAGAATCACCATCCAAGGCAGCGGAAACATCCCCAAGAGCCATCAGGAGTCCTTCTGGATCCATAAGCCTCCTGGGGCGGACCATCTTAATGGGTCCACCACCCCTGCGGAGGTTAGAAGTTGCAGCAAGTCTAAACTTGATCAGGTGGTGGTCAGTCCATGGCAAAGGGGAGATTGATAACTCCTCCACACCGCCACCTTCTTCCCAGCCCTGACAGAAGACCAAGTCAAGTGTGTGTCCAGAACAGTGGGTAGGGCCAGATATTAGCTGGGACAGCCCCATAGTTGCCATGGTGGCCATGAAGTCCTGAGCCGCTCCTGAAAGAGTGGTCTCTGCATGGACATTGAAGTCCCCCAGCACTACAAGCCGCCGGGACTCCAATGCCAGGCCCGAGACCAACTCTGCAAGCTCAGGTAGGGCGGCCGTGGTGCAGCGGGGTGGTCGGTACACCAACAACAGCCCTATTCTGTCCCGGTCTCCTAGCCTCAGGTGGACACATTCAAACAAGGTCAACTGTAAGGCCGGGCCCCTGACCAAGGAGATGGAATCTTTATAGACTATTTCAACTCCGCCTCCCCGCCCCCTGGGTCTCGGTTGGTGTTGCACGGCATAACCTGGTGGGCAAAGCTGGGTGAGATTAACCCCTCCAGCCTCATCCAACCAGGTCTCCGTGATGCACGCCAGGTCTGCCTTTTCATCCAGGATTAAATCCTGAATGGTTGATGTTTTACCATTGACAGACCTGGCGTTCAACAGCACCACCTTTAATCCGGGAGGACCGTCTACCTTGGAACCCAAGTTTACCATGTCGGGAGGACATTTTGGAATTTTTCTTAAGGTTTGCTCACGAATTGGCCGAATTGGTTTTTTAACTCTCCCTTTCCCGTATCTCCCCCTCCCCATCATCACCTCGATGGGGGCCCCCAAGCACCGGAACTCCCTCCCTCCCTCCCCCCTCTATCATTCTCCACATCCTGGTAGTTCACTAGTGCGCTGTTATATGATATGTAAATAGCTCTGGCGGTTGTTAAATCATCATTTCCGCCATTATTGTAGTTCAATTCCTCTGCCTTATAAAACCATCTCCAATTTTCCCCAGCCATTCGACCATTGTTGGGAGCGATTATATAATACACGATGTAAAGTGCAAATGCAAAATTAAAGTGACCGCACAATAGCACCATTGACATTAGTAACTAACAGAGATCTCACCGTTAATTAAAGTGCTGGAGTGCTAACAAGACATCTTTCATAACAGTGCAATGGGGGATTAGACTACAGAGGTATTCCTACACAGTGCAATTCTTATTGGCAAGAAATCGGCAGATTGGCAGTGTAATTGACATTAAGTAGGGGCATAGGAAAAAGTGCCAGATGCAAATCACAGTAGCTTGAGAGATATTCGCAGCAGGACCTCAGGCTCCAGGAGGGAGCCGTATAGTTCCTCTACTGATGCCTTCAGTCAATCTGCAGCTGTTGACAGTCTTCTCTGCACATAGGTGGAACAGTAGCACCAAACACACAATAACCCCCCTAGAGCCACTGCCCAGGATGGAGTACGGCTGTACTACTGGAGGTTGGAATATATTCCTGTTTGTTGGGTGGATGGAAGGGCGACTGACCCTTGGCAAGCCGAGGGTGTCTATAATGACAGTTGGAAACTGGCGACTGGTCTCAAACAAACAGTAAGCAGTAAAAAAGCAGCTTCACAATTACACCACAACCAAGCCAGGATGGATAGCAAGCCCGCAGCCGCCACCGCACATTAGGGGGTCCTGGAGGACTGCACAAGAAGTTCTTAACTGCAGATGGAGCACACTGTCACAGCCCCAATAGTACAGCACCACCAGTCGTCGTAGGTATTGCAGCCCGACCAGTTGGCCTCTAGCTGCTGCAGGCAACCCTGCCGGCTGAAGTAGGTGGTCACCGGTCCAAAGGAGCTCCTCAACCAGTGCAGGCTCCAAGGGGGAAAACTCTATCGCCAGTCTTAACTGGAAATGGAGATGGACAGTCGGATGGCAGCAAGTTAAGATGGTGGGATGGTCAATGCTAGTCCTTCCAGGAGTGGAGATGGAGGACGCGATGACAGGCGTCTCAGATGGTGAGATGGTGAGTCAGACCCCACTGGAGGAGGCCTGGGCTGCTGGCTACTCACAAGGAGTCCTGGGAGCAGGCTGGAGATCTTTATTGCCCCTTACAGCAGCACAGCAGACTCAGTCCCTGGCAGGCCTGTGGGCTCAGCTTTATAGAAGTAGAGGCCTCCTTGCAGTTGCTGAGTCAGACCCCACTGGAGGAGGCCTGGGCTGCTGGCTACTCACAAGGAGTCCTGGGAGCAGGCTGGAGATCTTTATTGCCCCTTACAGCAAGCACAGCAGACTCAGCAAACATTCACACCTAGCTCCAGCAGGGAAGAGCTCTTTGCCCCACCCCAGCCATTCCACAGATATATAAACCCACTGTCCTAATTCCAACAGAAATGCCTCTAGAACATGGCCCTATAGCCCGAAAAAACAACAGCAAAACAACAGAAGGGAAACAATCAGGGACATCTAATCACCTCTCAACAAAAGATTGCCCCAGGCACTGCCAGGCCATCAAATGCTAATCAAGGTGGTCAGTTGAAACATTCACACCTAGCTCCAACAGACAAGAGTTCTTTGTCCCACCCTGATCATTCCACAGATATATAAACCCATTTTCCTAGTTCCAACAGACCTCACTACCTCTGAGGATGCTTGCCATAGATGCAGGCGAAACGTCAGGAGAGAATGCCTCTAGATCATGGCCATGTAGCTTGAAAAAACCTACAACAACCCAATTAATTGTGAGTTTCCGTCTTCTCCTCCACCTCTCAGATTACTGGTGTGTCCATTTTGAGGGCTGGAGAGACCATGGAGCCGGCCTTGAGGGCTGTGTGCAAGGATGTCCGAATCGGCACTATCCTCATCCAGACGAATCGCTATACTGGCGAACCAGAGGTAATATACCTGGGATGTTACAAAGAGTTGGGAGTCTTAATCCTTCACTGATTAAGTTACTCCAGACTTGTACTAGCCACTTTCTCTTCTTCTTCCAGCTGCATTACCTGAGGCTACCAAAAGACATCAGTGAAGATCATGTGATCCTGATGGACTGCACTGTCTCTACAGGTGCAGCTGCCATGATGGCTGTGAGAGTCTTGCTGGTAAGGGAGACAAGAAGGACCACTGTGATTGAAGAAGGCAAGGTCTTGGGAGGCAGTCGTCTTAGCAAAAGAAAGATGGCACTTAGCTTCGAAGCAGGTGCAGGACATCAGATTTAATTCTTAATGTGCTGGTGCGGCTGTGCTCCAACTTTATTTGCTTTATATTAAATGTTTGCTTGCAGTCCAAGGTTTCAGAGATTCTGCAGAAAGGTGGCTTCCTTTCCATCATCGTTAAGTTTTGGTTCCGCCCCTTGTCAGGGCAATTGGGAAGGGAAGGGAGCCATTTTTAGTTAGTCTCAGTAAGGAAAGCTAATGTAGAGGACGTGTACAAGCTTCTCCTGTACAAAACTTCAACCCCTAAGACTTTCCGGGGGAGAACAGTCTTAAGAGCATCCAAAGATTTCCCAAGATTTCCAGAGAACCAACCCCAAAGCTTTGAGGAATTTCGGAGGGTGAACAGTTTGGAAGACCAAAGAACTCCAGCTGGAGAATCTACTGGCCTTACTGGTAGGTCCACTCGGTGCTCGAGACGCAGTTCGACCCGGTAGCGGAGCCCACATCAGTAAGGCTTAGATTAGAGTCAGCCTGGGAGAAGTTAAAAAGGGATTTCCCTTAAAGTAAAGAAACAGTTATTGAAGACAATTGCCTGTCCTTTGTGGGCATAATTAGGAAGCCACCAGTTGCATAAAGGCCTGGAAGCATTTGTTTAATTTTATTGAAGACAAGAGAAGTTTCTGTTTGATTGTTCATTAATAAAGGACTTTGTTATACTTCACAAGCCATCTAAAGACCATTTGTGGTGGAAAATCCTTGAGAACTTCTCTTCGGGGGGCCCTGGCTTCCCGCTGGGCTCAAGTTGCACGTCCTATTTTAAAGGCAATTCTTTACAGGCCCAGCGACATGACAGAACACTTAATAATAATAACACTCTATTTATATACAATTCATACCATTGACTTTTTTGTAAATGGTATGAATTGTATTTTAATGTATTTTATATTGATGATGTATACTGTTTTATCTTATTGTATTGAATCTTATGTTGTTAGCCGGCCTGAGTCCCTCCTCAGAGGTCGAGAAGACCGGGTTATAAAAACTCTAAATAAATAAATAATAAATATATTGCTGAACTGCTGAGCTTGTTGACCGAAAGGTCGCAGGTTCGATTCCGGGGAGCGGCATGACTTCCCACTGTCAGCCCCAGCTTCTGCCAACCTAGCAGTTCAAAAACATGCCAATGTGAGTAGATCAATAGGTACCGCTCCGGCGGGAAGGTAACGGCGCTCCATGCAGTCATGCCGGCCACATGACCTTGGAGGTGTCTACGGACAACGCCGGCTCTTCGGCTTAGAAATGGAGATGAGCACCACACCCCAAAGTCAGACATGACTGGACTTAATGTCAGGGGTCAACCTTTACCTTTACCTTATTTATATTCCGCCCTTCTCACTCAGAAGGGGACTCAGGGCTGATCACAGCACACATACACGGCAAACATTCAATGCTGCTTTTGTATAGACAATACACAGACAGACAGAACAGAAAGGAGGTGTTGCTGACTTAGTGTCCAGCTGTTTTTTGTTGTTGTTGTTGTTTTTTGGTGCCAAGGAAAGTGAGTCCAGCCACAGGGGATGCTGTTGCTCCATTCTATATGATGAAGAGCCGCCCTTCCTTTTTGGTCACCCAGTATTTTCTGATCTTTCTTTATGGCGTCGTAAAACAGCTCCCCTGCTTTTACTTGTACCTAATTCCTGTAATTACAGCTAAAGCTGTTTTCAAACTGCTTAGGTAAACAGTGAGCAGGGCTGACAGTCGACTGCTCACGTCGACCCGGGGCTTCGAACTTGCAACGTTCGGTTGACAGATATTCTAGTTGCTGCTGATTTATTAGCTGTGCTAAACCTCGATGTGGATAACATTGAGAGTTCCTTCTGAGCAGTCATCCACACCAGACATGGGCAAACTTTGACCCTCCAGGTGTTTTTGACTTCAACTCCTACAATGCCGGCTGTTAGGAATTGTAGGAGCTGAAGTCCAAAACATCTGAAGGGCCAAAGTTTGCCCATGCCTGATCCATATTGTGGATGAGGTGCCTTACACTATTATTGATTATTTATTTGCATTTATTTATGTTTTAATATGTGATTTTGTAAATGTATTTGACTGTTGTGCCCTGACTTGAGCCAAAATGAGAGGCAAGGTAATCAATATGTTGTTAAATGACCATCCAGCATTTCAAACAAATAGCCTTAACAATATCTTCCAGCATCAAATGCATTTGAGACCACCATTCCTGGACTATTTTGCAAGATCATTACATATGCTCGAATGTCCCAACATTGTGCACAAAGCTGCTCTTAGAAATCCCCTGCGGTGCCAAATACTATATGTGCATCTTCTTATATATATATTTCTTTCAAATCGCTATTCAAAGTAAACTTCAAACTCTGTGTTTCCTTTAGGACCATGATGTCCCAGAGGATAAAATCTTCCTGCTGTCCCTGCTGATGGCCGAGATGGGTGTCCACTCGGTTGCCTATGCCTTCCCTCAGGTGAAGATCATTACGACCGCCGTGGACAAGAAAGTGAATGACCTCTTCCGCATCATCCCTGGCATTGGTGAGCAGTCTCCAAGCAGAAACTTCCAATACAGAGAAAGAACCAGCTCGCTCAGGCATGGGCAAATTTTGGCCCTCCAGGTAGAGCCGGTAGGCTGTTAGGAATTTTGGGAGTTGAAGTCCAAAACACCTGGAGAGCCAAAGTTTTCCCATGCCTGTGTTATACCATAGGATTTGGTCCCTTGGGATGGACAATCCTCAATATCTACTTGCACGTTAGTCTTTCTTCCTGCTTGCTAACAACTGCTTTCTTCCTGCAGGGAATTTTGGAGACCGGTATTTCGGCACGGATGCCCCTCCAGACTGGAGTGACGAAGAAGACCTGCTGGATTCTTAGAGAGCTTCTGCGTGATCCCAGGAAAGCACTGTGAATGATGTACGAGGTTTTGACAAGCGCACCTTAACCTGAAAGCCCCCTTGTCCCCAAATACCTGCAAAGAGACGATCACCCGCAGCATAGAAATATCTTCTTACACATCTTTTGTCAGTGGCCGGAAGTGTCTTTTTCTTTCTTTCTTTCCTTAAGGAAAAAGAATCAAAGAAAATGGGAAAGGAGGAGAATAGATCTTTGCTGTCTTTTTTATGTGCCCACAAGTGTTTCCAAGTCTAGAGGCAGCTTATTTTAATTTAAAAGTTTTAATATAACTTATTTTATTAAAAAATAATTATTCAGATCCCGTGTCTGATGTTTGGTCATTCTTTGGTTATAATATATTGTTTTCTTTACCATACAATCTTGGGATGGGGAGCCCCCGGTGGCGCAGTGGGTTTAACTCCTCTGCCGGCAGGACTGAAGACCGAGAAGTTGCAGGTTCGAATCTGGAGAAAGTGTGGATTCTTTCCCACAGTGGAGCTGCTTTAAAAGGGGCACCCTAAAGCTCACCTTGGTTAGTAATCTGGCTGCCAATCTTTGGACTAACTGCAGTTTCCGAGTTGGCTTCAAAGGCTGTCCCATGTAGAGTGCATTACAGTAGTCCATTTTGGATGTAACTAAGGCATGGACCACTGTGGCCAAGTTAGGCTTTTTGAGATATAGTTGCAGGTGTCAGCACTGAGTCCAGGCAGACCCCCAGGCTGTGGACCTGTGTCCTGAGGGGAAGTGTACCCTATACCCCAACTGGCCTTGCAACTGACCTGGAGGACCTCTGTCTTGTCTAGATTAAGCCTCAGCTTGTTGACCCTCATCCAATCCATCATAATTGCCAGGCACTGGTTTAGGATCTGAGAAGCTTCCTTGGAATCAGGTGGAAAAGAGTAGTAGAGTGTCATCTACGTAGAGATGACACCCAACTCTAAAACACTGGATAACCTCACCCAGCAGTTTCATGTAGATGTTGAAAACCATGTGGGAAAGAATAGAACCTTGTGGACCTCACACGTCAGTGGCCAGGGATCCAAGCAGGTGACCCCCAGCATCACCATCTGGGTATGATCCTCCAGGAAGGAGCGGAGCCACTGCAATGCAGTGCCCCCAAGAACCATGCCGAAGAGCTGACCCAGAAGGATACCATGGTCAATAGTATCAAAAGCCACTGAGATGTCCAAGAGAACCCGCAGGGGCACACGCCCCCTGTCTAGTCATCAGTAGAGGTCATCCACCAAGGTGACCAAAGCTGTCACTGTTCCATGACCAGGCCAAAAACCAGACTGCGAGGGTTCAATATAAAATAATAATAATAATAATAATAATAATAATAATAATAATAATAATAAACTTTATTTTATACCCCGCCACCATCTCCCCCAATGGGGACTCGGGGCAGTTTACATGAGGCCAAGCCCAAACAACAAATTACAATAAAATAAAAACCAAAGACACAAACGACAACACAGTAAAATACATAAAACATATGAATACAATTAGCAATATAAAAATACAATATCCACAATCACAATGACAATGAGTGGGCCACATGTGCAAGATAAAATACTAAATCTCAGGGTGAGATAAAAGAGGAGCAGATTATTTGTGAGGGAGAGCTCATAAAGAAACACGGTTGTAAAAAGCAGGCCTTCATACGAGTGGGGAAGTGTACTCCAGGAACAAAAACATTGAGGGGAGCAATAATGTATGGTTGTGTGGCTAATCAGTTTCATCCAAGAATCCCTGGAGCTGAGAAACCACCACCTACTCCAGAACCTTGTACAAAAGACACACAAAAGGGCCAAAGTGTATTGGTCTCATTGTGCACCATACCCATTGTGCGTCAGTCTTAATGTGCAGTGGCAACTTTGCTGCTTCTCTGGCATTGTAATATGACAGTGCTACTGAACAGGGCTGAAATATTGGCACTACGATATCTTCCCAGGTGGGATCTAAGCTAAGATGAGCCTTGAAATGAGCAGGAAGGGAAACAGATATCAAAACAATAACTTTTGCCAAAGAAACCGCCAAGCCCAGAATTGCAAAATGTGTACGAGCAACATCTAATGCAGTGTTTCTCAAACTGTGCTTCTCCAGATGCTTTGGACTTCAGCTGGACACAATTCCAAACAGCTGGCAAGCTGGCTGGGATTTCTGGGAGCTGAAGCCCAAAACTCCTGGAGGAGCACCGTTTGAGAAACAGGGATCTGATGCATACATGGTAATTCTTATCTATGGAGCCCCCGGTAGTGCAATGGGTTAAACCCTTGTGCCAGCAGAACTGCTGACTGAAAGGTCAATGGTTTGAATCTGAGGAGCGGGTGAGCTCCCATCTGTCAGCTTCAGCTTCTCATGTGAGGACATGAGAGAAGCCTGCCACAAGATGGTAAAACATCCGGGCATCCCCTAGGCAACATGCTTGTTGTTGTTCATTCGTTCAGTCGTCTCCGACTCTTCGTGACCTCATGGACCAGCCCACGCCAGAGCTCCCTGTCGGCCGTCACCACCCCCAGCTCCTTCAAGGTCAGTCCAGTCCAGCATCCTTGCAGACAGCCAATTCTCTCACACCAGAAGCGACTTGCAGTTTCTCAAGTTGCTCCTGACATGGAAAAAAAATTCTTATCTAAGGTCTGTGCCAACAACAACCTCCCTTTACTGGATACACGTAGCCTTTTCTGCCCAAGAGTGCTGGTGCCTCTCCAAACTATAACTACCATTCTTCCATGGCATCGAGCCATTGGCAACTAAAGTGGTGTCAACCTGCATTAATTCTACACTGCAGGTGCACCCTTATAAAGGTCTCAATCCCCAACAAGATTCCAGCTTGTTTGCCCAAATGGATCCAAAAAAATGAGAAAAAATGTTTTAATGCTAAATATCTAGGAAGAATCTGGAGATATTTTTGAGTGTAGAAGTAATTGATCATTTGTACAATTCTAGGAGCCTTGGGAAAAAAACTGACACATTCTCCAATGGTATTTCATGCTCTCCAAACGCTATCCAAATAGTCATCAATAGTGTTTGAAAAGTGACAGGAAGGAGATCTTATTCATCCACCCGGATGAGAATGTTTTGATTGCAAATCTTTTATATGTGCTTTTTTTTCTGCTCAAGCTTTTAAAATTGTCTTATATGAATGGAAGACATTAGAGGAAAAATTGTTTCCTATTACATATTATTCATTATATTATTACTCAAATGTCTTTTTTAATCTCAATCTTGAGTTGACAATGGTTTCCGGAGAGGCACACAATGTTCAGTAATAAGGCAGCCCTTGCCCTGAGGCTTAAACATCCGAAAGGTTTGACACATAAGGAAAAGAATTGACAGACAAAAAAGCAGAGATGAGCACTAGCTATCAATTGCAAAGTTCTTGTAAATATTCTTTTTGAATAAGTTTCCTGCACTTTCTCTGGCCAATGAATAGTACCTCTTTGCTATAATATTTTATTTTATTTATTTATTTATTTATTTAGCAATTTTGTATACCGGTCTTCTCCCCTCTATCGGGGGACTCGGGCCGGTTTCCAACAATAAAATCACAAAACAATAATTAAAAACATCATATGACATATTCAATTAAAACGTTATAACAGCAAAATACAATCACATAATAACAATGGTCAGTCGTCATAGTGAATTCGTTGTCCATCATTCATCGTCATCTATCCGATCACAGAAATATTGATTCACTCGTCGAAAGCCAAACCCCATAGCCAGGTTTTCACCTGTTTTCTGAACGACAGAATGGAGGGGGCAGTTCTGATCTCCAGTGGGAGAGAGTTCCAGAGTCGAGGGGCCACCACCGAGAAGGCCCTGTCCCTCGTCCCCACCAGACGCGCCTGAGAGGCCAGTGGGACCGAGAGCAGGGCCCCTCCAGATGATCTTAACAACCTAGATGGTTCATAGGGGAGAATAGGTAAACTGGGCCGGAGTCATTTATTTTGGATGGGGTGGAATAATCCAACAATTATACCTTTTTTAAAATCTTGATTTCATCCCTCCAATTTTGTTGCCATTTTGCAAATTTGTTAACATGTTTTAGGTTCCCTCATCTAAGCTATTAGGAGTCCCCGGTGGTGCAATGGGTTAAGCCCTTGTGCCGGCAGGACTGAAGACCGACAAGTTGGAGATTCGAATCCAGGGAGACCACGGATGAGCTCCCTCTGTCAGCTCCAGCTCCAGCATATGTTCTGTATCAAAAACTAGAGCTGATGTGGTCCATCCAATGCAATTTTCTGAATCTGCACCCCAAATATCTGGAGAGGCCCTGCTCATGAAACCACCTGCGTCACAAGTGTTTGGTGGGGACGAGGGACAGGGCCTTCTCTGTGGTGGCCCCCCGACTCTGGAACTCTCTCCCCAAGGACATCAGACAAGCCCCAATGTTGGCAATCTTTAGGAAGAGCCTGAAGACCTGGCTGTTCCAGTGTGCCTTTCCAGATTAGGAAACTCCTGGCATCATGTCCCAAATGCACATTGTTAGAGACTAGGATTGTCTGCACATTGCACCTACCTCCAAAAAACCTTTACATACCTCCTGTCAAGTTCAGCACTTTTAACTTTGCCCATTACATTTGGCCCGGCCTTTTTAGATTTTAAATGCATCATGTGTCATTGTTTTTAGTGTTTATGGTCTTTGCTTGATGTTTTATTATTTGCTTATGAGTTTTACTGTTATATTTGTGTGTTGTTGTTGTTGCGGCCTTGGCCTTTGTAAGCCGCATCGAGTCCTTTGGGAGATTTTGCGGGGTATAAATAAAGATAATAATAATAATAATAATAATAATAATAATAATAATAATAATATAAATAACCAAACCAAATCTAAAGTTCCCCAAAAACTGATTCGTAACCGTTGTGGTACTAATGTAGGAGAGTTGTCCCTGGTTAAACTCCACTTGCCTCACTGCCAACAGAACCTCTGAAGATGCCAGCCACAGATGTAGGCAAAATGTTAGGAGGAAATGATGCTGGTTAGACACCCAAAAATCTCATGGCAACTCAGTGATTCTGGCCATGAAAGCCTTCGGCAATACCTCATCTTGAACTATTTTATTGTATTTATTGGAAATCGGCCCTTAATTAGCACCGAGGCTGCAGTCAAGAAATCAGAAGAAGACCACGAGGGCTGGGAATGGCAACTATGAAGGCACTTGACTCTATCCTGAAGTGTATAGGATCGGATATAAAGGTGCTGTTATATGGCATACCACAAGGTGCCATTCTATCCTCATTGCTGTTTATCTACACAAAACCTCTGGAAGAGATCATACTGAGGAATGGAGATGGAGAAGGGTGCTATCAG